TTCGGTGGAGCTCCTTTGTAGGGCCACGAAACGCTGTGCTTAGTAGGGGAGGCGCATGCGGACTGCGCCACTGGAAACTTCGGTGGAGCACCCGAGGGGGCCACGAACCGTTGTACTGGGTGGGGGGGACGCATGCGGGCAGCGCCACTGGGACCTTCGGTGGAGCTCCCTGGGGGGCCACGAAGCGATGCACTCGGTGGGGGAGACGCGTGCGAGCATCCCCACTGGGCCTTCGGTGCAGCTCCCTATGGGGCCACGAAACGCAGTACTGGGTGGGGGGGACGTATGCAGGCTGCGACACTGAGACCTTAGGTGGAGCTCCCTATGGGGCCACGAAACGCTGCACTGGGCGTGGCGGACGCATGCGGGCTGAGCCACTGGGACCTTAGGTGGAACTCCCTAGGGGGCCACGAAACGCTGTACTAGGTGTGGCGGAAGCACGCGGGAACTCCAACTGGGGCCTTCAATGGAATCCCCTATGGGGCCACGAAGCGCCGTACTGGGTGTGGCGCCCACGTGCCAGGCTGCGGGCGCGGCGCCGCACGGAGTCCCCGCGACTCGCGCTGGTCGCCCCGAAGGGGTCCTGGCAACGCGCGCGGGTCGTCCGTTGCGCGGAGCAGACAGAGCGAGCAGGCTGGCTCCCGCCCGGGATGCGCGGCCCGAAAGCGGCCTCAACAAGTCGAATACGACGAAAAATCTTCGAGAATCGAAAGTCGCCGCTATGCGAACTCCGCCACTGAGCCGCCATACGAGTTCCGCCACGGAGACCTTAGGTGGAGTTCCCTGCGGGGACACGAAACGCTGTAGTGGGTGGTGAATGACGCATGTGGGCGGTCCCACTGGGGTCTTCGGTGGAGCCCCCTTTATGGGGCCACGAAACTACTGGGTGGTGGATGACGCATGCGCGCGGCCCCACAGGAGCCTTCGGTGGAGCTCCCTATGGGGCAACGAAACGCCAGGCGGTCCCACTGGGGCTTTCGGTGGAGATCCTTATGGGGTACCGAAACGCTGTATTGGGTGGTGGATGACGCATGCGGGCGGCCCCGCTGAGGCCTTCGGTGGAGCCCTCTGTGGGGCCACGAAACGCTGTAATGAGTGGTGGATGACGCACGCGGGCGGTCCCAGTGGAACCTTCGGTGGAGTTCCTTAGGGAGCCAGGAAATGCTGTGCTGGGTGGTGGATGACGCATGCGGGCGGTCCCACTGAGGCCTTCGGTGGAGCTTCCTATGGGGCCACGAAACGCTGTGCTGGGTTTGGGATGACGCATGCGGGCGGTCCCACGGGGGCCTTCGGTGGAGCTCCCTTTCTGGGGCCACGAAACGTGTGAGTGGTGTGCTGAAGCGGGTGATGACGATGATGATGGGGGAGGGAGGAGGGAGGAGGAAGGAAGGATGGAAGGAGAACGCCGGGCGCTGTCTTTTCAAAACGAGGACCCAACACCACAGGATGGTTGGGAAAAAAAACCAGGCGAAGGACCCAACCAGATGCAATTGTGTGTAACGCGTTGTGGGTGCCGATTTCGGTGAAACTCCCTATGGGCCACGAATAGCGTGAGGGACGTGCCGGAATGGGTGGGGGAGACGCATGCGGGCGGTGCCACTGGGGCCTTCGGTGGGGCTCCCCATGGGCCACGAAACGTTGTCCTGGATGTCGCTGGCGCATGCGGGCGGTGCCCCTCGCTGGAGCTCCCGATGAGGCCACGAAACGCTGTACTGGCTACGGGAAACGAATGCGGGCGGTGCCGCTGGGGTCTTTCTGTGGAGCTCCCTACGGGGCAGCGAAACGCTGCATTGGGTGGTGGCCGACGCATGCGGGCGGTGCCACTGGGACCTTCGGTGGAGCTCCTTACGGGGCCACGGGAGGGGGGGACGCATGCAGGCATTGCCACTGGGGCCTCCGGTGGCCACTGCAGCTCCCTACGGGGCCACGAAACGCTGCACCGGGAGGGGGGGACGCACGCGGGCGGTGCCACTGGACCTTGAGTGGAGTTCCCAATCAATGGGGCCGCGAAATGCAGTACTGGGTGGTGGACGACGCATGCGAGCGGTGCCACTGGGGTCGTTCGGTGGAGCCCCCTTATGGGGCCACGCAACGCTGCACGGGGTGTGGCGGACGCATGTGGCCACCCCCACTGAGGCCTTACGTGGGGCTCCCGATCGGGCCACGAAGCGCTGTACTGGGTGTGGCGGACGCATGTGGCCACCCCCATTGGGGCCGCAGGTGGACCTACCTACGGGGCCACGAAACGCTGTACTGGGTGTGGCGGACGCATGTGGCCACCCCCATTGGGGCCTTACGTGGAGCTCCCGATGGGGCCACGAAACGCTGTACTGGGTGTGGCGGACGCACGTGGCCACCCCCACTGGGGCCGCAGGTGGGGCTCTCTATAAGGCCACGAAACGCTGTACTAGGTGTGACGGGCAGGTGGCCAGTGGGGCCTTGGGTGAAGCTCCCCATGGGACCACGAAACGCTGTACCGGGTGTGGCGGACGCACGTGGCCACCCCCACTGGGGCATTGGGTGAAGCTCCCTATGGGACCACGAGACGCTGTACTGGGTGTGGCGGACGCATGTGGCCACCCCCACTGGGGCCATAGGTGGAGCTCCCTATGGGGCCACGAAACGCCGTACTGGGTGTGGCGGACGCACATGGCCACACCCAATGAGGCCGCAGGTGGGGCTCCCCATGGGGCCACGCAGCGCGTACTGGGTGTGGCGGACGCATGTGGCCACCACCACTGGGGCCGCAGGTGGGGCTCTCTTTGAGGCCACGAAACGCTATACTGGGTGTGGCGGACGCATGTGGCCACCCCCAGTGGGGCCGTACGTGGAGCTCCCTATGGGGCCATGAAATGCTGTACTGGGTGTGGCGGACGCATGTGGCCTCACCCCCAATAGAGGCCTTACGTGGAGCTCCCTATGGGGCCGCGAAGCACTGTACTGGGTGTGGCGGACGCATGTGGCCACCCCCATACGGGCCTTACGTGGACCTCTCTATGGGGCCACGAAGCGTTGTACTGGGTGTGGCGGACGCATGTAGCACCCCATTGGTGCCTTACGTGGAGCTCCCTATGGGGCCACGAAGCGCTATACTGGGTGTGGCGGACACATGTGGCCACCCCCACTGGGGCCTTACGTGGAGCTCCCTATGGGACCACGAAACGCTGTACTGGGTGTGGCGGACGTATGCGGCCACCCCCACTGGGGCCTTGTGTGGAGCTCCTTATGGGGCCACGAAACGCTGTACTGGGCGGGTGAAACGCATGGAGGATGGAGGAAGGGGGAGGGGGAGGAGGGAGGAGGGAGGAGGAGGAGGAGAGGAGAGGAGAGGAGAGGAGAGGAGAGGAGAGGAGAGGAGAGGAGAGGAGAGGAGAGGAGAGGAGAGGAGAGGAGAGGAGAGGAGAGGAGAGGAGAGGAGAGGAGAGGAGAGGAGAGGAGAGGAGAGGAGAGGAGAGGAGAGAGGAGAGGAGAGGAGAGGAGAGGAGAGGAGAGGTGGGACGCGGGGACCGTCTCTTCAAAACGAGGACCCAACACCACAGGATGGTTGGGAAAAATAGCTAACTCGCATGCCACGTTCATCGGTCAACGCCTCCCCCTCCCCCCAATGTGCAAAGTTGGAGCTGGATCTGATGAGTTGCACTTCGACCGCAGTCTCCCCCGCGCGTGCCAACTTTGAGTTTGGGGAGCGGGGGTGTGTCCACGAATTGTTCCCCCTATAAGTATTCGTCTAGAACAAAATGGAGACAGGAAACGGCCAGATAGCATTCCAATCAGCCGACTGCCTTTGGGGCCAAAATGGGGAGGACACGGATGACTCCAGCACGCCGGGGGCTCCTGAGAGCCAGCGTCAGAGCTTCAGACAGCCATGTCCAAGCTGATTCCAGACTGAAAGCGCTCCCTAGCGACGATGCACTGCAATGCTGTCATTCAGCCGACGGTCGGTATCAGCTTGGTCACCACTCGACACCCACATGCACAAGGATATCACGTCAGGCTGCATCTTCGACCATGTCGACTCGCGAAGGAGGCACAAAGCCTGCTGCCACTGCCCACTCTTCTCGAAGGCGGTGATCCCAGCACTGAAGCTGATGACGTCCCGCCGCACTTTCGCAGCCTCCATGTCACTCAATACGGTAATCGCATGATGCCACTGCCCAGACTTCAAACAAGCACTTACGCCAGCACTGTAGCTAATCACATTTGGATTAGATGTAGCTTGTCCGATCCCGTTAAGCAAGGCCAGCGCTTGCTGCCACTGCCCGCACTTTTCGCAAGCACTTATGCCTGCATTGAACGCATACCTGATGACGTTCGGCTCCAACTTTGAATCCCCCATGTCACCCAGCAAAACCAATGCCAATTGCCATTGCCCGCCTCCCTCGCACGCCCTGATTCCAGCATTGTAGCTGATGGCGTTTGGCTCCAGCTTCGACTCTCGTAATTCGCACAACAACGACACGGCCCGCTGCCACTGCAAGCCCGTATCGCACACGCTGATGCAGACGTTGTAGCTGGCAACGTCTGGCTGTAGTTTCGCTCCGCGCATGTCGGCGAGCAGCGCCAAAGCCTGCTGCCACTGCCCGCCTGCCTCGCAGGCGCTCATTCCAACACTGTAGCTAATGAGATTCGGCTCCTGCTGGGCCATCACCATGTCTTCGAGTATTGATACTGCATACCGCCACTGCCCACCGTCCCTGCACGCCCTCAGCCCAGCATTGAAACTGATTGCGTCCGGGTCCAACCTTGCCCTGCGCATCGCGCTCAGCAGCAGAAACACCTCCTGCCACTGCCCTCCCCTCTCGCAAGCGCTGATTCCAGCATTGTAGCTAATGACGTTTGGTTTTAATGACCATTCAACCATATCATCGAGAAGCGACAGCGCCAACTTCCACTGCCCGACTCTCTGGCACGCGCTGATTGCAGAACTGCAACTCACAACATTCGGCTCTAACCTCGCTGCGCCCACTTCGCCAAGCAACATAAGCGCCTCCTGCCATCGCTCACCCTTCTCGCACGCGCTGACTCCAGCACTGTAGCTGACCAGGGATGACAAAAAATTAGCCTGGCGAACGACCCAACCATATGCAGTTGTAAGTACCGCAATTGTGAATATCTTCTTCGGTGGCGCTCCCTATGGGGCCACGAAACGCTGTACTGGGTGGTTGCAACGCAGGGAGCAACGGCCGTGTTGGGTGGTGGCGGACGCATGCGGGCGGTGCCACTGGAACCTTCCGTGGAGCTCCCTATGGGGCCACGAAACGCTGTACTGGGTGGGTGAAACGCAGGGAGCAAGGGCTGTGCTGGGTGGTGGCGGACGCATGCGGGCGGTGCCACTGGGACCTTCGGTGGAGCCCCCTATGGGGCCACGAAACGCTGTACTGGGTGGGCGAAACGCAGGGAGCAAGGGCTGTGTTGGGTGGTGGCGGACGCATGCGGGCGGTGCCACTGAGGGCTTCGGTGAGCTCCCTCTGGGGCCACGAAACGCTGTGCTGGGTGGGCGAAACGCAGGGAGCAAGGGCTGTGGTGGGTGGTGGCGGACGCATGCGGGCGGTGCCACTGGGACCTTCGGTGGAGCCCCCTTATTGGGCCACGAAACGCTGTACTGGGTGGGCGAAACGCAAGGAGCAAGGGCTGTGCTGGGTGGTGGCGGACGCATGCGGGCGGTGCCACTGGGACCTTCGGTGGAGCCCCTTATGGGGCAACGAAACGCTGTACTGGGTGGGTGAAACGCAGGGAGCAAGGGCTATGCTGGGTGGTGGCGGACACATGCTGGCGGTCCCACCGGGACCTTCGGTGGAGCCTCTGATGGGGCCACGAAGCGCTGTACTGGGTGGGTGAAACGCAGGGATCAAGGGCTGTGCTGGGTGTTGGCGGACGCATGCGGGCGGTGCCACTGAGGGCTTCGGTGGAGCTCCCTCTGGGGCCACGAAACGCTGTGCTGGGTGGGTGAAACGCATGGAAGAGGAAGGAGGGAGGAGGAGGTGGAAGAGGAGGAGAAGAGTAGAGGAACGCGGGGACCGTCTCTTCAAAACGAGGACCCAACACCACAGGATGGTTGGGAATAACCCGTGCGCCAAAATACGATCATGTTCGAATCTGGCTGCTTCACGTGCGAATCGTCGGGACGCAGAGGCGTTTCTACCCGATAACGCCGAGAGGACGGACCACCAAAAAACAGCGCCAGATCATCTGCATTGCCACGGAACGTGCGAAAGAAACAACTCCCGCCTGCCATGTCGGCATGCTCATCGCACCCTCTCTCGCTTGCGTGTTCGCGAGGCGTTCCGCAGTCAATCCTGCTCACGCTGCTACTCCAGCCCCGTACGCAAGTTACTGCCGCCCCGAATGTCGACGGCTCTCGCTGTGAAAAGCTACCACGTTCGATACCAGTGGGTTGCTCAGGGCCGTCGCGGAGCGGAGCACGGAGGGGACCTCTAAGAGCCGCCTGGGGCCTGATTGGAATGGGCTTCGCGCTGGTCCATCCGGGGCCCCTTGGCGACCGAGAACATCAAGCAACATATGAAACTACATGCCGACAAAGCCACTTGCAAGGGGGATGTTACATTCTCATTGTTGGGAGGCTAGCAAGTCAACGTGCCTCTTGCAAGCTGGAAGCAATAAGAGACGTGTAGAAGAAGCATGAGGGCATTAAATGGAGCATGGTATGTACGGGACATGTTACGCTGGCATGTTGAGGAAAACGTGCGAACGAACGTCCAACACGTAAAACGTCAAAGGGCGATGGCAGGAGCACAAGGTTAATGAAACACGGCAACGAGGACGACGAACCCTGCGCATGTGGATTCACATGTGCATGAAAGCGATGACAATGTTGACCAGGTATAAGGATAAGCAGGCAACGTGCCCGCTCAATGTAGAAACATGAATGCACAGTCAATGTGGGAGCATGAAAGCACCCACACGGCGATCCACGCCGAGCAGCACACAATGCGACCAACTACGATTGACACGCACAGCCAACGCATGGACCAATCAGCAACAAACGTCAGCGGCAGCATGTACAATGTACGACATAACGCCTGAAAAAGATCAACGGGACACGGTAGATGTGAAAGCCACTCGGAAGTGTGGCATATGTTCCAGGGCCACCGCGAATAGGGTTTCCCATTAAGTGGGGCGATTGTTTTCTCTGCGCACCCCGCGCAGGAACACCTCACTTCCTTTGTCCCCCTCTCCTCCCTTCACGCTGACCACCGCCACCCACCATCACCACCACACCACCATTATCACCCCTAACACCAGCCCATCATGATAGCCTATCATCGATCAACAGCATCGTCGTCGTCCTCACCATCAACATCAAACCACATCACACAAACACACACATCCATCCTCATCCTCATCCTCACCAGCATGAGCATCACCATCACCATCACCATCACCATCACCACCATCATCATCATCATCACCATCATCATCAGTATCGACATCATCATCATCATCAGCATCATCATCATCATCATCATCATCATCATCATCATCATCAGAATCAGCATCATCATCATCATCATCATCAGCAGCATCATCATCATCATAAACATCATCACCACCACCATTTCTCACTCGCGCATTCCCACATCTACGCACATAGTCCGCACTCATGCACGCATACACACTCAAAGACTTACACACGCACACGCACGCACACACGCACATACACACACACACACACACACACGCACGCGCGCACACACACACACACACACACACACACACGCACAAACACTCACCTTGAGGAGGTCACGAGCGGGAGCCGCATGTACTAGTGAATTGCGAGGAAGTCTCGAGCGGGAGCCCTTTCCCTAATTATGGGGTCCCCGCCCCATGTTGGCAATCCGAGCGCTCGATCGGCGCACTGTAGCAGCATAGCAATTGAGCAACCCAAGGGAGCAAACCGTGGAGAGGTCTCGAGCGGGAGCCTCGTCTGTGGGTGAATCGCGAGGAAGTCTCGAGCGGGAGCCCCCTGCCTATGGGGTCCCCACCTCATGCTGGCAATCCGACTGCACCTCGGGCGCAGTGTGGAAGGCATGGCAATTGAGCACACCAAGGGGGCACATCGTGGGGAAGTCTCGTCTGTAAGTACTACTTACAGACGAGGCCCCTTCTCGAGACTTCCCCACGACGAGACTTCTCGAGACTTAGACTTTACAGACGATGCCCCTTCCCGCTAGTTACTAACTAGCGACGACGTCTCGAGCGGGAGCGCCCTCCCTATGGGCCCCGCACTTCATGTTGGCAATCCGAGGCGGCCATCGGCAAAGCAGCAGGCATAGCACCTGAGCACCCCCCGGGAGGCGAATCGTGGGGAGGTCTCGGGCGAGGGGCCCGTCTGTGAGTGAACAGCGAGGAAGGCTCTGGCATCCCCTGACGTCCCTGGCATCCAGGCTGAAGTCGGGCCTGTCCCTCTGCAGGAGGAAGATTCAAGAATGGTAAACAATAGTCTGGGGACGGCTTTTGGAATATGTGTTGGTCATTCTTAAAAATGTGTTGAATCTTTGTTTGCTCGTCCAAAACCCCTCTGTAGGGAAACATGCCCTCCCCTGAATGCAGGCACAGGCCCCACAATTCTCACAGTCTCACAAGCCCCACAGGGCCCGCAAGTCGGGCGCCGCACTCCCAGAGGCCGCAGCAGACCAGCCGAGAGCAGCAGGCAGCAGCAGAAAGCAGCAGAGGCCTAAAGTGGGGCTCTTTTTCCCAACCGTCCTTTGGTGTTGGGTCCTCGCTTTGAAGAGACAGCTCAGCGCTCCGCGTTCCTACCTTCCCCCATCCTCACCCTCCTTCCCCTCGTCCCTCCTCCTCCTCCCCCATCCCATCATCGTCATCATCATCATCATCATCACCATCATCATCGTAAGCATCATCAGCATCATCAGCATCATCATCATCATCCCCATCATCTTCATCATCATCATCATCATCATCATCATCAGCAGCAGCAGCAGCACCATCACCACCATCATCATCAGCATCACCATCAGCATCATCATCATCATCAGCATCGCCATCATCAGCATCACCGTCTCATCATCATAAGTATCATCAGCAGCATCATCGTCAGCATCAGCATCATCAGTACCATCATCAGCAGCAGCATCATCAGCATCATCATCATCAATCATCAGCATTATCAGCATCATCGGTCATCAACAGCATCATCATCCTCATCATCATCATCCTCGTCATCATCATCAGCATCACCACCATCATCATTATCATTAGCATCGTCATCATCATCATCAGCACCATCACCTTCACCATCACCATCATCATCATCCCCATCGCCGTCATCATCACCATCATCATCACCTTCTCATCATCATAATCATCATCAGCAGCATCATCAGCAGCATCAGCATCATCATCAGCATCAGCATCAGCATCAGCACAAGCATCATCAGCATCAGCATCAACAGTATCATCAGTATCATCATCATCAGCATCAGCATCATTCTCATCATCATCACCATCATCATCGTCATCGTCATCGTCATCGTCGTCCAATTTCGGCGCACCCCTCACACGTTTCGCTGCCCCATGGGGAGATCTACCGAAGGCCCCAGTGGCGGTACCCACATGCGTCCCCGCCACCCATATCGGCACACCCCTCAAACGCTTCGTGGCCCCATAGGGATCCCCACCGAAAGCCCCGATGGCGATGCCCACATGCGCCCCGGCCACCCATTTCGGAAAACCCCTCACACGCTTCTTGGCCCCATAGGGAGCTCCACCGATGGCCCCAGTGGCGGTGCCCACGTGCGTCCCGGCCAATCATTTCGGCACAATCTTCACACACTTCGGGGCCCCATAGGGAGCTCCACCGAAGGCCCCAATGGCGGTGCCCACGTGCGTCCCCGCCACCCATTCTGGCACACCACTCACACGCTTCGTGGCCCCATAGGGAGCTCCACCGAAGGCCCAGTGGCGGTGCCCACATGCGTCCCCGCCACCCATGCCAGCACACCCTTCACATGTTTCGTGACCCCGTAGAGAATGCCCAGTGACGGTGCCCACATGCGTCCCCTCCACAACTTTCGGCGCACACGCACAAACACACACACACACACACACACACATATATATATATATATATATATATATATATATACTAGAACCATCGCGCGCGCTTCGCGCGCGCTCAAGTTCTAGCTAAGATAATCGTCATCGTCATAATCGCCATTCTCATCACCATCATATCCGGCGTCATCGTCAGCGGCATCGTCATCATCACCATGACCATCACCATCATCACAATCGTCACCATCACCACCATCGGCAGCAACATCGTCATCACCATCGTCATCATCGCCATCGTCGTCATCATCGTCAATATCGTCACCTGAATGATCAACATAATCATCCTCATCATCGCCATCGTCATCATTATCGTCGTCGTCGTGATCGTCGTCATCGTTATCGTCATCATCATCGTCATCATCTTCATCATCCGCCCACTCCTGCATCACAAGCACGATATAAACAGCATCGCCACCATTATTATCAGCATCGGCGTTATCATCCTGACCATCAGCAGCATCATCATGATCGTCAGCATCACCAGCCTCAACGGCATCACCGTCATCGTCATCATGATCGTCAGCATCACCACCATCATCATCATCATCATCATCATCATCATCATCATCATCATCATCATCATCATCATCATCATCACCATCACTCACATCACGATCACCATCATCAACATCATCATCATCAGCATCATCATTCCCACTGTCAACATCATCATCATAATATTATTCCTCATCATCATCATCACCATCATCATCATCAGCATCATCAGCATCATCATCATCATCATCATCATCAGCATCAGCATCATCATCATCATCATCATCATCATCATCATCATCGTCGTCATCGTCGTCGTCAACTTCGTAATAGTCGTCATCATCGTCATCATGTTCGTCACCGTCGTCTCCGAAGCTCCCCCGCCGAACTCGAGGATATTTCCGCAGCGTCTTGCAGGCCGCGTGAGCAGTATTGGGGATTTAGGTTGTGGGCCTGAGGCCGCCCTGCATAATCATCATTGTCATTATCACCAGCGTCTGGAAGCCTTGCGGGGCCCTTTCGGCGCCTTTTGGAGGCCTCTTGGAGCCTGGGGGCCTCTCGAGGCCTCTTGCGGACTCCTGGGGGCCTCTTGGGAGCTTCTGGTGGGCGAGGGCTCGAAATGTCAGTTCGTGTTCCCCATCTGGGGCTCCTCTTGGAGTGTTCTGGGAACTCTTTTGGGCCGTCTTGGAAGCTTCCTGGGCCGTCTTGGGGCCCTCTTGGGCTGTCTCGGTGGTCTCTTGGGGGCCTCTGGGCTCGTCTTGAGTCGATCTTTCGGGCCTCTTGGGCCGCCTTGGAGCGTCTGGAAGCCGAACTGGGGAGAACGCCAAAACCCTTCAAAACCCACAAAAACTCAGTGACAATTTCCTATTGGGCCCCTCCCGGGAGTGCTGTCGGAGACCTGCTGGGACGCTTTAGCAGCTTTTTAGCCGTCTTGGAGTGCTCCCGGGCCGCTTCGGACCTCTCTCGGGCTGTCCTGAGGGCGTCCTGGAGCCATTTTAGAAGGGCCTGGGAGCGTTCTGGCGTCTCCGGCGAGAGGGTGACCACAGCCACTGGGCAAAGTGAGGCCCCCCCCTGGTCCAGGACCCCCCCCCCCTATATATATATATATATATATATATATATATATATACATACATACATACATACATACATACATACATACATACATACATGCATATATATATATATATATATACATACATACATACATACATACATACATACATACATACATACATACATACATACATATATTAGGTGGTCTTTTCTCCTCTCCTTATTGTCAGCATATGAATCCTCTAAGTGGAAGACCCTTCAGCAGTCAAAACACAGGCAAATACCAGTGCAATTACCAGTCAAATCCTCACCAATTTGATGCACACGCGGCTCTGTGAGGGGATCTAGACTAGGTATACATATGGAGAGATATAGAGATATTGAAATTGAGGAAGAAAACGACGACTAGGAATAGGAAGGAGGAAACAACGAAGGAGAGAGAAGGGGTTGAACTATAGAAAGAAAGACTAACACGAAATAGGGATATAGAAAGAGAGAGAGAGAGAGAGAGAGAGAGAGAGAGAGAGAGAGAGAGAGAGAGAGAGAGGGAAAGCGATATGGAGAGATAGAGAGACACGCACACAACAACAAAGGAGGCAGAGAGTGAGAGAGAGGATAGAAACCTTGTAAAGAAGGGGGTCGAAGGAGAGCAAGCCAGAGAGGCAAGGGTAGGAGAGAGATGGGAGGGAGCGGAGTTGGAGAGAGGGAGCGAAGAGGGAGGGAGGAGAGAGAGAGAGAGGGGAGGCTGACAGGAGGCTGTTGCAAGAAGGGAGGGAGAGGTGATGGGCGAGGGGGAGGGGGGGAGGGGAGCAACGAATAATGATGGAGCCAGTGGGGGAGGAGTGAAGAAGTCCTCTCTTCCCCTCCCTACCCTACTGTAGGGGGGCCATACCGCCATATTTCTGACCTTGTGCACCTGCTCTACTGGATCCATCTAGGCCGCGCCACAAGAATGGGCACGAGGAGGGGGGGAGCTTAGAGGGGTGAGGAGGAAGAGGAGGAGGAGGAGGAGGAGGAGGAGGAGGAGGAGGTTGAGCAAGAGGGAGAGGATCAGAGTCCTAGTGCCCTAGTGCCCTATTGCTTATCCTGCCGTTTCTGGCGCAGGACATCATCATGCTGCAACTGCTCTTGGATCTGCTTGTGCCCCTCAGCAATGCGCCTGGCCCGGGCAACATTTTCTTCGGCGTCCTCACATCTACGTTCAAATGTTTCCTCAAACTCACGAGTCCAAGCAGCCCGCTGTTTCATAATATTCCTCCCCATCTACCTCCTATGATTTTGTTTCCATCAGGGTTGAGCTCTAGGTCGTATCCATTGGGGTGGAGCGCTAGGTCGTAATAGTATCTGTCTGGGTTGAGGAATGGCCGATCTGGCTCATCAGAGTCAGGCTGCTCCCGGGGAGAGTCAGAGGGATGCTGCTGCTCCCGATCTGGATAGATGTCGAGCTTTGCTTCCATGCCAGCAACAGCAACTGCGGGCAGCGTCCACGAAAAAGGCACCAGATTGACAATGCTACCGACTGCGGCACAACAGGCTTCAGACACGAGAGTCCAACGATCGTTCCAACTTGCTGGGCTTCTTGGGGGTTCTGCTTGCTCTAATATTTGGAGCCCCCACTTTCACCTGCCTCCAGCTACTTCCCCCTCCCCATCATGTGTTGCCTTTCGTGTTTGGTTGTTTGCCTACTTGAGACCTTGAGACTTGCCTACTTGCCAACATTTTGTATCCTTTGTATTATGTAAGTATATACCGTATACTATATTTACATATTTAAATATTCTTAAATTAACTATATACACGTGCGTACAACGAACTATACTTTCATATCATATCTCTCGATTGTGTCTTGTGTCGCTCATCCCCAGAACGCAGCCTGCGGCCAGGGCCCGGGCGCAAAATCGGGCCCGGCCTGGAAAACAACTTGGCCCACTCGCGGCAGGCCTGAGAAAAGTCTACCCCGCTTGCAACAGGGCCCTGGAGCAGGACATGATGCCGACATCAAGCCCTGGGCTCGGCTGAAGCCAAACCGAAGACAAGACACCCAACTCGGATGAGATCAAAACGCTCATCGTCTCCCACAGTGGCTGTCTGGGCCTGATTCTCTGGCATCCCCACAGGCGCAGCAACAGGCTTGAGTTGCGCATCGCCGAGCCCCCTTCCCTTCCCAACAACATTCTGAAATTCTGAGACTCTTCCCTACTTCCCCTCGTCCTCCCAGAGCTGTCGGCCAGGTCGCCTAATTACTCAAGCTGCGTCGTCAGCCGCATCCTCGGCCGCTACACCTGCTGCCTCGGGCTGGTCCTCGTCCTCTGGCGACTCCTCCTGCACTCCCGACTCCTTCGCGAGTTTGTCCAACTCTTTCCTCAGCTTGGGCGGTATGGTGGCGCGGGCCAATTTCATCTCGCGGTACAGGTTTGGAGCCATCTTGCCGTCTGCTTGAAGGTAGACTGCAAGAGCGCTCCTCACGGCAATCATGTTCCGGGCCGAGTCGCGGAGCTTCGTCACAGAACCAAGCTCCTTCTCAAGGTCATCGACGTTCAGGATGCCGCTCACCTTGCTCGTGTATTCCTTCCACTGGCTGATCATCATCGTCGTCTCCTTGACCGCCTCCACCAAGTGCGGCCTCCCCGGAAAGTCAACGACCTTCTTGATCTCCTCTTTATCCATGTGTTTGATCGCCACCTTGTAGTCGACAATGTGTTCTGGAATTGTGTGTGATGATTCTGTGGCTTTAGCCACAATGTCCTTCAGAGCCTCGAGCATCACGGTCTGCTTGGCCTCCGAGTAGAGTTTGATGACGTTCAAGACATGGTCGGCCACGTCATTCCAAGGCCATTCCGGTGCACGAGGTGCTCCTCCAGGTGTTTCGAAATAATTTGAGCACGAAGCCGCCAGGGATTTGAACTCGGGGAAGTGCTTAAACAAGGCCTCGGTCTTGTCGCTGGCATCCGCCAAGACCTTATCGAGCTTGAACATACTCTTGATCACTGGGAGGATCTGCATTTTGATAGGCACCTCTTGGCTCACCGTAGCAGGCTCGATCCCAGCTTCAGGGTCCTTGCCGAAAGTGTTGCAGAAGCGCTCGTAGGCTTTATTCAGGCCGATCTCGGTGTCCAAGCGGCGCATGGCCTTATCCACCGACTCGTCCTCGACTCGCTCCTTGAGGCCCTCCACGTTCTTCAGCGAGCCCGTGGCGTCCAAAGCAAGGCGGCCAGCATCTGCCTTTGAAATGCCACCGTTGTTCAAGCTGGACACGTCTGTCACGTTGTTGGTGCGCAGGTGGCTCTCCAGGCAGCTCATCAAGGTGCCCTCGAGAGATTTCGCGATGTTCGCAAGGTGCGTATACGGCTGTGGGGTATCTATCTTCTTGTCGACCTCGGCGCCTCCACCACTCTCGCCTTGCCCACGTACCTGGATCAGACTTAGCACGTCCTTGTTGTAGCTAACCCGAGCACCGTCAGCCCCTATCCTGACCATGATGTCAACGAGCTGGGGCAACTGGGCGGTGGTGAGCTTGGAGCAGGCAGAAGTGACAACGGCATTCCTGGAAGATTCCTCTGCAAGGAAGTCGGTATTGACAATCTTGATGAACTGGGGCAACTTCAACAGCGTCGTCAGCCGCAACACCTCCCTGCATGGTAGGATCATCCCAGCGTGCTGCTCCAAAAGTAGCACCGCATCGTTCACCAGGGAGGCCTGATCGCAGAGCTTCTGGGCTGCCTCGCATACCCACTCGGCACTCTTCTGCGAGAGGTTGTTCAGGTCGTCGCTACCCGGACCCATCACCTTACTGGAACCAGATTCTCAACCGTCGTTCCCCCCCCCGCAGATCGTTCGAGTCGAATCGGGAACGGAATCCAAGCGAATCGGTCGAGTCGAAGATCGAATAACCGAATAAAACGAAATTTGCCGGAACGAGCTCCCAAGGAACCCCCAAGGTTAATTTACAAGCGAGGTTTCGAACGAGACGACATCATGACAAGACGGAGGCCTGAGGTTGAGAATCCACCAGAAGTACCTGGGCCAGAATGCTCCCTGCCAGCTTGTCGAACACCCTCGCCATGACGGTCTTGAACTGCATGCTCTCCAGGTCGATTTGCAGATCCGCGTTGTTGCACATGGTGGTGAAGGTAGAGGTCAGCGCCTTCATCTTGCTGAGGGCACTGAGAATTTCGTCCTGGCTGGCTGTGGGCAACCTCTGCTCGAACCCCTCCAACGATTTCATGAACTCTTTCTGCGCTTGCTGCTTGCCCTCGAGATCCTTGGCTGTCTTGAGGTTGGTGGTTAATGACCTCAGCGCTGACTCGAATGCCTCGACCTTTTTCCTTTTGACCAAGCTGAGATAGGCAGACTGCTCCTTCTTCTGGGTCAGGCGGTGGACGGCGTCCACCACCGCACTGGACGCCGTCTCCGGGGACAAGTTGAAGCCTAGTTTGATGGCCGCCATATCGTCGATGAGTGTCTTCGGCAACTTGCTCGTCGGCGACGCGTGAGCGACCACATCAACGATGTCCTTGAACACGTTTGTAGCCGCATCCGCATTGATGTTCTTGCGAGCCGTGCCGACCTTGTCCAAGTTGTTCCCCAAGATCTTCGGGGCAATGAAGCAGCCCCACCCCGAAGGCAATATCATGAAGCCCAGCCCACAACCCGGGACCCAGGCACCCCCAAAAACCGGGCCTTGGGACCCAGCCCACCACTCCAGCTCTTTCCTCACGGTCCACCTGCTACCCCAGCAGCCCCACCCCCCAGCTAAGACAGTTGAATAACCCTTTTGAAAAAAACACGATTGCCTTCAGGGCGAAGTGCTGTATCGCCCCAGCTTGCTCCTCGTCAGGTAGCATGTGCACGCCGATGGCATCGGCGCCCTCGGTGCTGTTGTCGAAGATGCGGAGCTGGTTGCTGATGTTCTCGTGCTCCACCTCTGCCAAAGACTTGGTGATCATGACCTTCGTGATGTAGCTTGGCACAACCTGGTTCGGTAGCTTCGATCCTAGCTGCTTCCACTGCTCCAAGGCGGCGGAGGAATCAAGGTTGGCAAACTTCGACCAGCCCTTCTTGAATGTGATGATGCTCTGGAGGGTATCTGACGTGATCGGCATGCTAGCGAGGTCGCTTGGCAACGTCTTTCTTGCAGCTGCCTTCAGCCACTTTGCCGCGGCCTGCTGATGAACCATGACCTCCTTGAGGTGTTGGCTGAGCTGCCTCGGAGCGAACTGCGACCACTTGGACTCTGTGAACTCCTCAACGGCCGACTCCAGCTTATTCTTCAGGTCTTGGGCATGGGCCTTCCCGTCAGCGTCGAGTTCCAGTTCGTCGGGCTTCTGCGCCCTGGTCTGCTGCGAGTCCTTCCTGGCCTCCTTCCTGCCTGATGCTCCTGAGGCGGAGGCGCCCGAGATGCTCCCAAGAGTGCCAGTGAAGCCAGTCACGCAGCCAGTCCTTGATCTCTTCGCGTTCCGATCCCTCACCGGAGTGGTAATGCCAGCTTTCCCCCTCTTGTACTTCTTCTGGGCAGCAGCATCCTCAGGCTCGTCGTCAGAGTTTTCCGAGTCGTTCGTCTTGCTGGAGCTGTCGGCGTCGTCATCGCCGTCGGAGTCCTTCTCGTTGTCGGAGTCGCTGGGGGGCTCCTCGGGCGCGGTGATCTTGTTAGCCTGGCGCTTCAGCTCAGCTAGACGCTTGTTCTCGAGCAGCTGCCCGGCAGACATCGCCTCGAATGATGCGTGGCCTGAGCTCGCCGCCGACACCTTGGAAGTGAAAGGACCCTGACAAACGCAAAACTGCCGCCCAAGTCCCCTCTCCCCCATGTCCAGGGGAGAAGGCGGGGGCCCCACCCCCTCCCCTGGACGCTTGGGCCTTTAGGGCGAGGCTTGGGCTTGGGGGGTCGGGCGAGGCTTCGGGTGAGGATTAGGCCTAGTGAGAGGGTGAGGCTTGGGGTGAGGCTTGGGGGCCTAGTAGTGAGCCTACCGAATCCCTGGAGGATATCTTTGGGGCCCTCGAGCCAAGAGCCTTCCCAGAACAACCCCACCACAGAGGAAGCGTTGTCAGGGAGCTTTCCCTCGAAACTAACCTGGGCCTGCACCATGACGTCGTCCCCGTGCTGCTCATGCAGGTTGTCCTCGGCGTTGAGCGTCTGCTCGTCCATGGCGATCCCCTCCTGGCCAACCAACCTCAGATCGTAGACGCCCTCCTCGCCCTCCTTGACCACGTAGCCGTGGATCTCCTTCCCAGAGTAGTCTCTGGAAGTCCACGGTTTTGCCTTGCTGGTCTTGGGGTCGCCGTATTTCTTGCGGCATGCTGCCTCTGTATAGAATTTGACGTCAGGGGCAACCAACTCTGAAAAGCATTTTCTCGTCTTGCGGATGGTTTTCCCTGGGGCGCGGACTCTTGTCGCGCCGCCCCCTTTGAGATTGATGTAGTTCTTCTGCGTCTTAACCCACTTGGTTTTGATCTTCCCATCCCTCTTGCAGATGTTCTCGAAGTTCTCCAAATTTGGCATGTCAACCTTCATGTGCGTGCGCCAGACGTTGAAACAGTTACGGCACCACGAGCCACTCGCCACTTTCCTTTTGCGAGATGTCCGAGTCTTCTTGTTCATCAGGAGTTTCTTGCGCATCCTCGCCCAAGCCACCCTCTTGGGATTGCCCCGCATCTCGGAGATGGGGCAATTACTCTTACTTTTCACACCACAACCAATGCACTTCTGCACACCAGCTCCTGTGAAGTCACTGCTCTCGCCGTCTGTAGTCTCGGGGTCCTGCTCCATCGCTTCAGACTCTGACCCAGCTTGCAAGGCCGCAAGGTCGTCGGCAGCGCTCTCAGCCATCCTTCTACGTCCAGAGAAGATGTGCCGTACCTCACAAGACTCAACGGGAGGAGCCTTCAACCCGACCTCATAACAGGTGAAGCCAAAACGGCTACGGAGTAGGGCTGTGCATTCGGGGTCTATACTGAGATTATATGTGTTGTTGCATTCGGGGGCTCTTATCAAGACTCCTATCTATATCTTATTTCTTATCATTTATGTTTCCTCTGGAATTGGGTGTGGCGATGTCTTGGTATGTTACAGGTATGTTCGCACTGCACCCGTTCCCACCCCTACGGGGCAACTTGTGGTGCAACCTATGGCACGTGGCTATCCTATAGCATAACAACCTACAGCCTATGACGCAACATAGAGCGCAACCAATCCAGTTGTGGCGATGTTTCGTCACGTTCGCGCATGTGCCCACCGCTATTGCGCAACCTATGGCACAACCTCTGGCTATTTTGCAATCTATTGGACGGGCGTGGCGAGGTTTAGCCCCGCGCCCGCCCGTGTCCGCCCCTATGGCATAGCGTTTGGCTATGGCGCAACCTATGGCGCAACCAATGTGACGGGTGTGTGGAGCGGCCCAACCCCTACAGAGTCCATCAGCTTTTTCCACAGAGGCAAGACAGAGCATCGAAGTTTGTCACCATTGCTTTCCCGGCCTTGATATTCGACACTCGATGGCAAAAAACAGCACGCGTGGGGCACAGCTTCCCCACTGGGAGGGACGGTCGGGCACGAGTACAGGGCGGCCAACGGACCGTGAGATAGGCAGGCGCCCGAGCCCGACTCCACCCCCAAGTCCACTCCGGAGGCATTACGGGCAGCCTGGCAGCCTGGCTACGCAGGGTGGCAGGAGGAGGAGGACGAGGAGGAGGAGGAGGACAAGTTGGAGGAGGAGGAGGACGAGGAGGAGAAGGAGTAGGAGGAAGAGCAGGAGGAGGAGGAGGAGGAGGAGGATGAGGAAGAGGAGGACGACGACAACGACGACGACGAGCCCATTGAATCTGCAACGCTGGGAGACCCCTGCAACTCAGGGCAGTGTTACGCAGGAGAATGCAAAGGAGGGTGGCGAGGGAGAGGAGAAGGAGGACAGTGAGAGAAGCAAGTTGTTAGTCTCAGCGTGCACCCCAAACAGTGGGTAGCCGAGTTACGCCATTCCAGACGAGGCGCAATCCAAGTGGTGCTATAGGTTGCGCCACCCACAGAGGCACGTGAGAAAGGGAGAAGGTTGAAGGGGGGAGGTGATGGGGATGGACACGCATGGGGAGTGGCCCGAGTCGTATGTTTCGCTTTCGCGTGAGAAAACGCCAGGAGTCCTGACTCAGGACCAAGGCTCAATATTCCCCTCGAGCGATGGCCTGCAATCGGGCTGGCACGACTCCGGCGCGCTGCAAAACAGTGTCACACTGAGCTGGAATGAGGGAGAGGGAGATTCAGCAAGCAAAGTGACGAGGTTGGGTGAGGGGGGGAGGGTGTGGGCGAGGAGGGAGGTGGAGGAGGGATGAAACAAGGAAAGAGTGGGAGGAGGGACGGAGGATAGGACAGTAACGATTCAAGAGTCTAGTCTAGCCTGTCAAAACGAAGAACCGAGTGGGGGAGGAGGCGAAGGAGGAGGAAGAGGAGGAGGAGGAGGATAAGGACAACGTGGAGGAGAAACGGAGGAAGCAAAAGGAGGGATCGAGAGGAGCTGCGGGAGGTCCGGTAGCAGGGCGAGGCACTGCATGCAAAAGCCCGCGGCCTCTGCACGATCATCTCATGATGATCTCTATGGCACAGGGTCTGGGCGCGCCCTGTAGTCCACGCCGTCCTTGAAGTCCACGCTCGCCAAGATCGCCCCTATCAAGGAGCCCACGCACGGCAGCGCCATCATGTTGCCTGTGAGCTCGCGCCAGTCCGAGTTCGCAGGCATTTGGTCGAGCTTCAAGGTGTTGCGCGGCATGCCCATCGCCTGGAAGATCTCCCCCGCGACGAGGAAGCGGCGCAAGCCCATGTGGAACACTTCGGCCGAAGTAGTTGGCGTGTCCATCTTGCCATCGATGCGCCAGTTGTTCCGATGCAAAGACTGGCTCACATCGACCACCGTATCTGGCATCAGGCGGCCGAACTTCACCAGCTGCTGATGGTAGACGATGTCCAGCATCTCCAGCTTCCTCGCGCCCAAGGTGTCGAAGACCTTCCTGTCGCTCTTCTGCAGCTTCTTGGAGTACACCTGCCCTTGTGCATGCAGCCTTGCTGGGAGGCCGTTCTCAGCTCTGAAGTTGTCGAAGTCCTTTTCCACCTTGGCGTTCATCGCACCAGACTTGTTCGTGCGGCGGGCTCCCCAGCCCACATTCACATACTCCTTGACCTCCCGATTTGATGAAAGGAGGATGTCCTTGATGCTGCCCGGGCGGAACTTGGTGACCTTCTTCAGTGTGGCCTCGATCTTGTTGAGTTCTGCGACCCCTCCCACGTCGGCCCGAATGCCCACAATATACAACCTCTTTCTCGTATGCGGTAGCCGCCACTCGTCTGCTCGAAGCCTGAAGATCTTCCAGCTGTAACATGGAATCAACTCCAACCCAACTGGAGTCTCGATGCCTTTCTCATTGACGGCGACTCCTTTCATAATGATCTCTAGCGGAGTGCAGCTCGAAGATGACTTTCTCCGCTTGCCATCGCAGGTACGGTATTGTTTGACCTGAGCCTCCAAACCACAGACATTCTCGATGATGACGATTTTCGGCCGCTGTTGTTCTTGCAAGTAGTCGCGTAGCTTGATGAAAGGCTGTGCTTTCTCGTCGAGCATCTTGGCCCACGGCAGGCGGGCAAAGTTTCGCTCGTTGAATTGGCTGAATGGTTTGCAGGGAAATCCATAGATTCCAAGGTCGATCTCCGGGGCTTTAAGTGAGCAGGAGGTGGAGTGATGCGTCAAACATTCGTTATCTTCAGGATGGAGGAGGGAGTCGATGTCGGCGTACATGTGCTCTGGCTGGGCATGCACTATGATGAAGGTGCGGCACAACTTCGACACGTCTGCGCTCGAGACGTGCCGAATTCGAGAGTCGTGGACGAGCATCTTCAGGGCGATCACAGGCGCGTCTGTGCCCGAGCATCCAGTCTCGATCTTGATCTCCCCTTGGTGGTCGGTGCACCACTCACTCCCAACCATGCCTGGCGTGTCCCACCAGTCAGTCCCCATCTTCTTCCGCAGGTACTCAGGCCAGTCCGCCCAATGCTCGAGGTCCGACTCGTCGGCATCATCCTGCTCCTCCGGGCTGCTCTCCTGCAACCTCGCGGTGGCACGTGAAACAAGAGGAGGTGGAGGAGACTGGGGAGGAGGTGGGTGGGTCGCCCCTCGCGGTGGCAAGGGAAAGACGAGGAGGTGGAGGAGACTGAAGAGGAGATGACTGGGGGGCCGCCCTGCAGGATAGGCCAACGCAGTGCACGGTATGGGCAGCAAAGGGCAGGGTCTGGGCACTGGTGAACATGGATGGGCCGTACCAGGAAAAGTAGCAGCAGTAGCAGTAGCAGTAGCAGTTGCAGCATATCATCATATCTATCTAGGCCAGGCCACCAGGTCAGGCACCCAAGGCTCCACAGATGGGCTTTTGTAGAATTGCAGCCTGCTGCCTGCTGCCTGTCGAGGGGGCGGCGCGCCGAGAACGGGGAGATGGGTGCCTGCCTGCCCTCCTCACCCAGCCCGTATCTTACGAGAAATTTCTGGCCCAGAAATTTCTTGTAAGATACGGGGGGTAGCGGGGTTGGGGGAGGAGGGGGCTTACGAGGATGCCGAGTATTAGGATGGACTGTTCCAAAAGCCTCTAAATTCGCTAGGCATTCTCCGGGAGGGTAGGCCGAAATTGTTTTTGCTGGATTTTGCGTGCGTGTTGTTTCTAAGCCTTTTTGGGCACCTAATGCCCCCCAAACGGCACTCGAGGGACAGTACGCAGCCCCGATTAGGTACACATGAGTCGGTTTTGGCTGCATTCTCTCACGGGTGGACACAACGGGCCTCAGGGTTGTCTCGCTGTACCAGTCGGTGGAGTGGTCGCTGCTGGAGCTCTCGTCGCTTTCCGGGTCGCTCTCGGCGCAGTCCGTGTCACCTGCCCTCCCCCCCGCCACCATTGCCCACCCCCATCCCAAATCGCAGACGAGGCCCCCCGAGCTGCCAAAGCCAGCTGCCCAGAACGTCAAAGCACCCCTGAGGTTCCCTCTGAGTCGTGAGATCCATGCATGCATCGAGCCCCCTTCCCCCCCCACCATGGGTCCCGCGGTGCGCTGCCAGATCTTGAAGGTCAGATAGTGCAGACATCCCTACCCAGGCCGAGGCAGCAGCATCTGCCTGGCCCCCCTTGGGATACAAATGGTACGTACGCGATGCCAATCGCACCTCGAAGTCGCCAGATGAGTGTAAGTAAGAGCCAACACACAGGTACCATAATGTTGGAATGTGATGTCTTGTAAGATACCAACATGAGCACGTTTTGTGTCCACATAGCGTCCGCAAGACAGACGGCCTCTGTGTCCACATTGTGTCCGGGGGGGGGCAGATTGGGGGGCAAAACCACATGTGTGCACACAGCGCACACTGTCCACGTGTGTCCGCGTGTCCGCGCCTGGCCTAAACAAGGATAAAACGAAGAGATGTGCACAGTAAAGGCATTGTCCGCATGTGTCCGCGTGTCCGCGCCTAGCTTAAACACCTGTTAAAAAGCATCATGTGTACATTACACATAGTGTCCCCGTATGTCCGCGTGTCCGCCGCCTCTCTGCGAATGGCACACAAAAGCGCTCATGTGTACATTACACATAGTGCCCGCATGTGTCCGCAGTGTCCGCGAAGCTTGAAACAGCCCCGAAAACTTAGCTTGTGTACGGAAACGAGTGTGTCCACAAGGGTCCGCGTGTCCACACCGATGCGAATTAGAGCGAAAGCAAGGGGGGTGTGTACATTATGTGAACCGAAGACAGTGCAACATATGATGCACGATAGATGGAACCATATTAAGATAGACTGATGCTAATGAGTT